TTAATTTTGCCTTTGAGTTACTGTAAGAAACTTCTAGGATCTACATATGCCAGCTGAGTCTGTTACAAGGATAAAAATAAATACCATAGTCTTAGGAATAGGGGCATTCTAGCTAGGGAAAAGGGAGATGCCAAAAGGGGTTAGAACCATATCACCTTGACACTGGGGCAGGAAGACTCCTTCCCTGCACCCCTCACGTAGGAGGGCCCATATCGCAAACATCTGACGCACATCAGGCATCTATGTTACTTGGATCCAGTGCTGGATGACAGCGCAGGCTGATCTAGAACCTTCAGCACGGGCTTTGGTGACTCACACTTTCCAGGCGCCAGGGCAAAGGCTCCCCCAGGCCTCCGGCCCTGTGTCCAGAAACTCAAAGGTGAAGGTCTGGGTGCTCAAGACCTGCAGGATCTCCAGAGACCAGCACCGCAGAGCTAGCAGCAGGGCACTCGGCACAGGGCTGACCACTTGACTTCTCAGTCCTTCCTCTGAGACCAGAAGCACAACTGACCCACACAACAAAACCCATCTTCCCTCGGTGGCCTCTGTGCACCACATGGGCCAGGCCTGGCTCTGGCACTGGAGGGGCACAGTAAGTTCTAAGGAACATTTGGCCTCAGTAAACAATAGCACAGCTACATTAGATCTAGATAACATACAAATGGTAGGTCTCATTGTTTTGGCAACCAGACAGGCAGGAAACACTGAAGCTGTGAAGAGTTTCATTTTGATGAAAATATTTTTACCAGATTTAATTACATTTTCAAAATCATTTTAAATTCTGCTTTATTTGAAAATGTTTGACTAAAATGTGATGGAAACCTTTTAAGGGTTCAAACATGATATCTGACCCCTCCTTTGTACCCTTGCCAGGCCCCACAAAAGTAAAATGGAGGGTTGGAGATATAGCTCAGTTGGTAGAGCGCATGCCTCGCAAACACAAGGCCCTGGGTTCAATCCCCAGCACCACACACACACACACACACACACACAGTTAAAATGGAATACTTGCAATAGCTCTGTGAGAGGTTTACAGATTGTGCCTGGCAAACCCCACTCCTCTGGTAAAAAAAAATATGTAAATTTAAAAAAGCATTTCAATTGTCCTAAAAGTGGAGAAAATCCACTGAATTTCAGTGAGACTATATCTGTGACATTTGAGCCATGACCCATTCCCATCCTTCTCCCCAGGCTGGTAAGGCCAAGAAGATAATGTGTCCCCCACCCCCACCCCCGTTCCCCCGCCCCTCCCCCTTCAACTCCAATGGAGGGCAACAGTTTCAATACCTGGAGGAAGGAAGATCACTGTATCTCTCATCCTCCCAGCTCTGTTGCAAAAACTCCACTTCATTCAGGTGTGGCCAAGAGAACTGGGGAGCTCTTCCCCACCCAGAGCCACTTTGTAGGGTGGAAATTCTACACCAGCTTCAGCAGGTAGAAATCCCAGCAGACACATAAGCAACTGTACCCTCCACACAAACTAGAAACTAGACTTCACAGGATTTATTTAGAATTAAATAAACAAATGCTCGAGTAAACAGCAGTTATAATAGCGAACCCCAGAACAGGGTAGGGTGCAGTGTCTAGAGCTGCTGCAACATGCCATCTAAACTGTTAAGCTGGGCACAGCGGCATACACCTGTAATACAGCAATTTGGGAGGCTGAGGCAGGCAGATCCCAAGTTTGAGGTTAGCCTCAGCAATTTAGCGAGACCCCATCTCAAAAACTAAAACAGGGCTGGAGGTGTAGCTTGGTGACAGAGCACCCCTGGGGGTTCAGTCCCCAGCACCAAAACAATAAATAATAAGTTAAAATGACAGGTTTTCATTGAAAAATTACAAGACATGCAATGAAGTAGGAGCTTGGCCACACGCAGGGGAAGAACCCGGCCCGGAAACCGCTGTTGCAGGCACCCGGGTGTTGAATACATTAACGAAGATGCCCTGAGCAGGTGCAAGCATCGTATTCCACAGCTCAACTGTGCCAGGGCAGTGCGGTCAGTTGCTAAAAGGCCAAAATAAGAGTCTGGAGACATCAAGCAAGGCGCTTGGTTTATCTGGGAAGGCTTACTAGAGGTCGGGGCTGTCCGAGGAGGTGAAGGAATGGACGGCACCGCTGCCCTCCTGGCACCTCCTCCAGCAGCGGCCTCTCCCACACAGCGCCTGGCCCAGTGGCAGCCACATCCATCCACAGGGCCCTCTGCACCATCACCACTGAGAGGTGTGTTTCAAGGTCAGGGTGCAGAAGTAGTAACGTCATCAGCATCCACTTGCTTAGCGTGCTTGTCTGACCAGCGTCCCAAGGAGCAAGGGTCCTGATATAGATGCAAGAAAGCAGCTGTCCTCAGACAGCACCGACTCACTCTGGTTCCCTTGTGCACAGAGAAAGCCAGTGTCCTTCAAGACCAAATGAACCTGACACGCTGGCCCAGCCTTGCTCTCGGGTTCCCTTTACTTGGCTGAGTTTTTGGAGACAGAAAGGGGGCCATTCAGGGACTTGGTGTTTTACTGTCTCCCTTTGCTTTAAGGACAATATAAACATGTTTTTAAAACACAGCAAAGTCCACCAAAAACCCTAAATCAGGCCAAGCTATGATTTGAAAGTGAAGGTAAAACAAAGACATCACAGATTAAGCAGAAACTAAGAGAATTAATTGCTGGCAGACTTGGTGTATAAGAAATACTAGAAGAAGTTCTTCAGGCAGAACACACTTATCCAAGATGGTGGTGATTCAGATCCATGTGAAAAGATGCTACTCCAGTAGAGGCGACCAGGCAGGGGATGCCAAGCAACAGCGCGCTCACATATGTGCTCAGTTCTTCTTTTAACTGATTTGAAAAGCAACTGCAGCCACGGCATGTACCTGTAATCCAAGTGACCGGGAGGACGACAGCCAGGAGGAGCTCAAGTTGAAGGGCAACCTCAGTGTCTTACTGAGGCTCCCTCTCAAAATACAATCTAAATAAGGTTGGGGATGTAGCTCATGGTAGGATACTACTGGGTTCAATCCCCAACAGGGTAGAAATCTGAAATTAAAAAAATAATAAATCAGGTGTGGTGGTGCATGCCTAAAATCCCAGCAGCTTGGGAAGCTGAGGCAAGAGAATTGTGAGTTCAAAGCCAGCCCCCCAAAACTTAGGCCCTGAGCAACTTAGCAAGACCCTGTCTCAAAATAAAAGGGCTGGTTTACGTGGCTCAGTGGTTGTGCACCCCTGGATTCAATTCCTGGTACAAAAAGAAGAAAGAAAAATAATAAAAGTCAATTGCAGCTGGGTGTGGTGGCACATACCTAAAATTCCAGTGACTAGGAGGCTGAGGCAGGAGGACTGCAAGCTCAGGCCAGCCTGGACAATGTAGCAAGACCATGGGTCAAAAAATAAAAAGGGCTGGGGGCATAGCTCAGTTGTGGACCACCTCAGGTTTAACCCCCCAGTAGGAAAGAGAGAGGAAAAAAGAGGGAGGGAGGGAGGGGGGAAGGAAGGAAAACAGCACAAGTCAGCCCACCACATCACTGCTTCATAACGGAGCGGTCTGAACGACCCAAAGTCAGAGGCCGGCAGACTGGCACAGAAAGAAGCCCCCGTGATGTGCTCTTTTCAGATTCAGATACAAACAGGCTACAAGTAAAAGGATGAAAGCCTTCTGTGCACATGGCAACCGCACCGGGCAAAACAGACTTTAAGAGGAAATCTTCTCCTGGAGATAAAGAGGGACATTTCACATTGGCAAAAGCGTCGCTCCACCAACAAGACATTGTGTTTCACAGCATAACTGTCACACCCTGATTTTACAGTCCCAACACTAATGGGTGACGTCCCGAGAAAGACTCACAAGGCAGGAAGGTGAGGCGCGCATGGAGTGATCAGAAGCAAGATGCAGTCACCTGTGTCAGTCCCACTGGAAAATCAAGCCGAGAGGCTCTGAAGGGACAGTCCGACACAGGAGGGCCCGATAATAGCCATCACAGAAGACTCACCAGCACCCGAAGTCTGTGACCTAACACAACTGCTCCCAAAGAAGGTCCAGATCTTGACACCGCGCGCAGACAGGGACAATTTACAGACCAAGAAAAATGTGAAGCTGGTTATGTGACAGTGTCCCCCTCCCCAAGCAAGGACACCAAGGACAGAGGCGCTTCCCTCAGTCACCTCTGCCCAGAGGACGTGCTCACAGCTCCGACGCGGGCCTCCACCAAGGTCAGGAAGAGACAGCTACTGTGTCCACTGATCCCAGGTTGTTATCATTATTTTTTAGAATTTAGTTTTTAGTTGTAGTCGTACACAATCTCTTTATTTATTTATTTTTATGTGGTGCTGAGGACCGGACTCAGGGCCCTTCATGTACTAAGTGAGCACTTTGTCGCTGGGCTATAGCCCCAGCCCCGATCCCAGGTTATTCTTGTTCCTGTGGCCTGTCCACAGAGCCACTGAGAAAGGAGCCAGGTTCCTACACCGTTTATTTAGACACTGCTGGCTCTGACTTCCTCCTGGGTTCTTACAGTTTGTATCGGTGCCTTTATTAGGAGGCTGACGTAGGGCTGCATCCTTTTTGAGATAGTGTCTCCTCTGATGCCCAGACACCATGATAAACATCGAACACATCTGCTGGTGACGTCATCTTTAAAAGTGGGCTCTTGCTGGGCTCTGTGGGGCACGGCCTGCAATCCCAGTGGCTCAGGAGGTTGAGCACAGGATTTGAGAAGATCAGGTACAGAAGAAGGGCCATGGAGCACAGCCCCTCAAGGTAGAAGACCAAAATATGCCACCCCACCCCTCAAAATATGCCTCTTTGGCGTCAGAATTATTTTCCACTGATTATTTTGAGAAACAGCAGGCCCAGAAAAAGGTCTAAGAGCGGAGCTGAAGTTGTCCTTTCCAAGGGAAAATCGCATTTATAAAGAAAAAGAACGGTGACAGGTGGAGGGAGCTCCAGCCGCACTCCAGCCGCACGGAGGTGACCGCTGCACCCACGCATTTCCCGCCTGCCTCCCCTCTGCCCGCCTCTCCCCAGCACCGATTTCCCATGTGAGGTGACAACCCTACACAAGCTGGAGTTGTCACCGGCCACCTGTGACAGGGGTCCCCGCCAAGAACTTAGAAAGGCAGAGGAAACGTGATTTTCTTCCTCTACCCCACCAGCTCCAGGGTGGGGCTTTCAACCTTCCAAAAGTTGAAATGCCTTTCACCTGACCCAGGATTCCTCTGAGCCATCGAGCGTCCCTCAGAGCAGAGAGGATCCAATGGCTGAGCTTTTCAAGAAGTCCCACCCTGAGTGACTCCAAGGCGCACTTGCTGGTGCAGGGCATCCGTCCAGAGCAGCTGCGCCCCCCCCCCCTGGTCTTTTGGAGATTGACAACTCAAAATTGTGGGCGCCGTAGACATACACGCTCTCTGTCTGTAGGTGAAGATGGGAGGCCGTGAAGTGCCGAGCGGTGGCCACTCAGGTGAAACAGCCAGCTCTGCTTAAGGTCCTCCGGGGAAAGTCCCACTCCACTCCAGAGCCCTTCACACCCAACTCAGCTTGAAAAAGTGACAGAAGATGTGGAAAAACCAGTTTTGCCCCAGTTTGCAATGCCTTTTAACAATTCTTACTCTAACCTGAGCTTCTGCCTGCACTCTCTCTCCACCGTTCTCTCTTGGTCTGCCTCTCTCAGGAGTAAAAGGAAATGACAATCATCTTCTTGCTTCACTTTTCACTGCAAATGACCTTCTGACAACTCTTATCTGCATAGAAGTTCCCACACGCCCTGCTGGATGGTTTACAAAGAAGACCAAAGTCGAAAGTTTTAGTCTAAAAAGGAGAGAGATAAAAGTAGATTTATCAGACATAAGAATTATGATGCCTAGAGTCAGTTCCTCTAAAACGTGTCTTTTCCTGGACCTCACACGCCTGGCAGCATTGGGCTGGAACCTGAGAACCGGGAAGTGAACTGTGGATTATTCCACCCCACTGACCTGGGTTGTAATTTTCACTCAAGAGTAATATGTTGTTTTTCTTTCTTTCTTTTTTTTTCTAAAATCAAGGCGGTGCTAATTTCTCAGAGGGCTGCTGGGCAGCGGTGGAGAATGCAACCTCTGGGTTGGGCAGATGGGGACCCGGAGCCAGCAGCGCCCTGTGGTCTTGGGTGACCGCTGGCTGGCAGAGGCAGTTTCCTTAACTGTGAAATGGAGAGGGCCAGGGTCCCTCCCGTGGCTGCGCCAGTTGCCCTGGGGCCCGTGAAGCCTCACACGGTGGGTTCCATGCACGGTGGGTGCCTGGCGGAGTGCACAAGGTTTCAGAAGAGGAGGAGGAAGGTGGAAAGGCCACGGTGACCGAGAGCCGGTGCCTCCCATAAACAAGGCACTACTGCATGTGGTGATCTCACGGTGTCCTTGGGACAGCCCAGAGGCACGGGGGCCTCTGCTTTTCCCATTTGGGAATGAGGCGATCAGATCAAGGAACTTGATAACGTGGGCTTGCTTCTCATGGATGTAGTCCTCTCGAAGCTCTGCATTCAGAAATTGGCTTCAGAGACAGAAAAGGAAGGTGAACTTGTTTGAACAAAAGGAGTTTCTCTTCCTTGCAGCCACGCCAGCCTATAAGCCTTCATAAAACAGCGAAGGCGGTTCCTCTTCCCCTGGCAGAGACTGATAGCCTCCGCACTCACCACAGTGGCTCCCGGTGAAGACGGGGTGCACACTCCCTGACCGGAGGCCTGGGCGGGGAGCCCGTCCCTGTTCACATCCAGCCCCAGGATATGGAGAAATCTCCCATAGGGCCCCACTCACCAGCATGAGGTCCTGCCCACGGAGACTCAGTCGACTCGGTCGCCTGGGCCAAGTGTGGCCCTTGCTTGTGGCCGCGCTGGTCTTCTTCCTCCTCACCCTGCCTTCCTTCATTAAGGAGCCCAGCACGAAGCCTTCCAGGTAAGAGTCGCTCCCTTCCAGGTTCCTCCTGTCCCCTGAGGGGGACTGAAAACTGTAGCCCAGGGAGCCTTGGGACCTCTGAGCCACTGTGAAGGTGTCAGATCAGAGATGTCAAGAACCACTGGCGGGAAGACCCTAGGGAGGTGGAGGAGATAGTGGCAGTGGGAGAACAAGGTCCAGGGACCCCACCGGCTCCTGTGGGGCAGAAAGGGAGGCGAGAGCTGAGAACTCAGGGAGCCGTCAGCAGAGAGCACAGGTGGAAATGGGATGAGCTCCCCTCTGGGACCCTGAGTAAGGCCAGCAGCCTCAGCGTTGGCTCTCACAGGCCGAGAGCCAAAGACGCGTCCCAGCTGTTCCATTTGTTTAAAACCATGCCACCCCGAGAGGTCTGTCAGTGACACGGAGCTTCCACTGAGGGAGGCAGCTCTGATTCTGTGCCCCAAGGTAGCCCTCCAAAAAGAGTCATTTTTCTTAGAAAATAAATACCCTCTGGCAGTGAGAGGCCCTTTTCCTTCCAGACTCGAAAAATTTTTTTTTCTTCTTTTGGTTTTGCATAGAGTTAAAAATAATACAGAGAAGAGAGGCAGGAAGTGAAGGTCACCCCGTGACACCCCACGTCTGATCACTGTTAATACGTTGGTGTTACGATTACAGCTCACACTTCCACAGCATTACTGTGGGCCAGGCCCTGTGCTAAATGCTTTCTGTTCATTAACTAATTCTCGTTATTATGAGGATGCTGAGACACCGAGAGCTAAGCTGAGTCACCTAAATAACACTGCTAGGACATCTCAGGGCCAGGATTTAAACCCAGGTATTCTGATCCTGAATCCCAAGTATGTCTCCTTCATGCTATGTAACACCTTCATCTATGTATCCCACCACACTTACTGTGCCACAGGACAATTATTTTTTTCAGTACTGAGGACTAAACCCCGGTGCTCTACCACTGAGCCACTTCCCCAGCCCTTTTGATTTTGAGACAGGATCTCGCGATGCTACCCAGGCTGGCTTCACACTTTTGATCCTTCTGCCTTGGCCTCCTGAGTAGCTGCATTACAGGCATTCAAGGCCTGGCTACAGGGCAATTTTAAAATCACACTTATGTTAGACATTATTCCATGTTATTGATTCACAGACTACTATTTATTATTATCATTAATTAATTAATTTATTTATTTTGTGGTGCTGGGATGGAACCCAGGGCCTCATACATGCTGGGCAAGCGCTCTGCCTTGAGATAACACCCAGCCTCATTCCCTCTCCCTTCTTTTTCATAGCTGCATAGCATTTTGCAGAACTGATAGGGTTTCTTTAGCCAAGCCCTATTGATTAGCACAGGGGTATTGGACATAGGGGTGGGCAACCGGATTGTCACTCATTTTTCACTTCCTTTTGTACATTTCCGTAGCGTTTCTGTAAAGGGATTTCTTGAAATGGGATTGCCAAGACAATGATTACAGCCATAAGAAATGTTAATGGAGACGTCAAAGCATTTTCCCCAAAGGCAACACTAGGGGGCGAGAAGGTCAGCTCTCTGCCAGACGTGGCAACCCCGGAGAGCTTTAATGCTTTGGGGGTTTCCATTCTATAGTGTGCTTCTTTTTTAAATTTTCATTTACCAGTTTATTGGGGAAGCTAAGGCTCTTTTTAAAGATGTTAACCATTTGTACTTTTCTGTTTTCTTTTTTGGTACCAGGGATTGAACCCAGAGGTGCTTTACCTCTGGGCCACAGTCCCAGCCACCGCCTCCGACGGCCCCCGCTTTTTTTTTTAAGTTAATTTAAAGACGGGGTCTTGCTAAGTTGCTGAGGCTGACTTTGAACTTGCGATCCTCCTGCCTCAGTCTCCCGAGTAGCAGAATCATTTGTATTTTTCCATGAATGCTCTGTTCATATTGTTTGCTCTTTTTTTTTAAGTAAATTATTTCTTTTTCCTATTTGTAAGAGATTCCCATGTATTGGGTATATTAACTCTTTTCTGACTTATATGTTACAATGCTTCAAATGTTGCCTTTGGCCCAATGTTTATTCCGTGTTTGTGATATTGGATCTCATACAGAAGTAATATTTATGTAGATAAATCTTTTCCTTTATGGTCACTGGGCTTTTTGTGCAATTTTTAGGAAAACAAGTCCTACCCCCAAATCATACAAGTTTTCTTTTTAATTTTCTACTAATATTCCTGCATTTTCCCCCTTTATGTTGAATAAGTTCATCCTGCAGAATTGAACATGAACATGAACATTCTCCAGGACTCTTGATTCTTATCAGCAAAACCCAAATCCATCAAGCTTAAGTAGGATAGTGAGGGGACGAGATGCTAGAGCAGCACAGCTCTCCTGGGGAGCCCTGCAAGGTGACACTGGCCTGCAGTGAACGGCCGCTGGTGACAGGGCTCCTGGCCACCTTCCCCAGGAGTTAAGGGACAGAGGTTAGTGGCCAGGAGATGTCTGCTCTAGAGGTTTCTGAAGGCCAAAGGCCACTGTGACTCAGGGCGGGGTGATGTGTGGGGAAGATGACGGAGCCACACTGCCCGTCCCAGTCGTTCCTGTGGCACCTGTGCTACAGGGATGGGGATCAGAGCCTTGAAACTGCCCGGCTACTTTCTGGAGCCAAGTAATGAGACTACTCACCCCAGGAAACGTGTGGAAATGCTGACGGCTGGCAGGGGCAGCAGGGGTCAGGCCAGGAAGGCCCCTCCTGGAGAAGAGCCATGCTTACTGACAGCGAGACCAGGTCAGCAGGTCCCTGCCATCAAACAGGCTGACGGAGCCTCGGGGTGAGCAGAGACACCTCCCCAACACACAGCAGCAGGTGGGCACTCAAGTAATGAGGCCAAGGTCAGAAGAGCTGAGCCTTGACAGAGGGGGCAGCCCGGGCCTCCGCCCAGAGGTAGAGCATTGGCCCAGCACCTGCAAGGCCCCGGGCTCCATCCCAGCCAACACCACAGAAGGAAAGAAAGAGGGGCAGAGTTCTCCTGCCTGGCCATGATCTTGCCGCCCCCTCCCTTGCTCCCTCATCGCCCCAAACTCCCCTCATCTCATCCCCGTCTCCCCATCCCTACCTACAGCTGAGAGGGTTGTAGCTCTGGTTTGGCTGAGAGGGGGAACAGGAGAGGAGCTCTGAACCACGCAGGACACCTGGAGCTCTCCAGGAGATCAGAGAGATGAGGGAGAGCGAGGGCGAGAGACAGAGAGCGGGGGAGAGGAGACAGATTATATCGTAATTTTTCTTAGACCGAGTCTCGGGTTTTTGGTTGGTTGTTTTGTTTTGGTACTGTGGACCCAGGCCCTGCACATGCTAAGCCATGCTCTGCCACTGAGCTACACCCTCAGCCTCCTAAGACTGAATTTTCAGCCTCAAAAGTGACTATAACATTTTGGAGTCATTCCCGTTTCCATTAAGGAATGGGAAAAAGGGAACATATTATGCTGCTCGATAAACTGTTTACATAATTAAGTTCCCAAATGGTTGACAGAAGAACCAAGTGCCATACGGAGTCCCTGGAAGAGACTCCCTGGAAATTCTCTGTTGAAGGATTCTCAGAGGATGTGGCACTGGCGACGAGCAGGGCTCAGATGAGGGACGGGGAAAGGGTGAGGAAATCCACAAACAAGGAGCTGACCTAAAACGAGTCCTCTGGCCTTGACGAGCCATAGCCAACTGGCCCCAGAGCAGCCAAGGGCTGGCCCTGGGCAGCAGCGGCCCTGCAGCAGGGTGGGGACAGAGGCTTGCTGCACGGGGCATGCGGGCAGCGGTGGCCTCGTGAGACTGGTATGTGAAGGCCTTTAGAGGTGAACTGGGTGGGTGGGAAGGTGGAGTGGGTGCCATCTTGGCCTGACCAGCAGTGTCAACCTGGGGTGGGATACAGAGAGAGTTCCCAAGCAAATGACCCTGACCACAAAGTCCAACAGGGGGAGACTATCCAGTGAATCTCAAGGCGAAGAGAATCTGGGAGCAGGAAGAAAGGGGACATCGAGAGACATGTCAAAGGAACAGGAAGCAGAGTGGAAGAGGCAAACGTGACCACAAGCTTTGCACCTTAGAGACTGGCCACGGTCCACCCTCCTCAGTCTTGGTCCCACAGTGCTTCTGGGACAAGGGTAACAGTAAAACCAGACACAATCCAGGCACAATGGCACACACCTGTGATCCCAGCTACTCAGGAGGCTGGGGCAGGAGGATCACAGATTCAAGGCCAACCTTGGCAACTTAGTGAGGTCCTCTCTAAAAATAAAACTTATTAAAAATGGCTGGGGATGTGGCTCAGTAGTAGAGTGCCCCTGGATCCAATTCCCAGAACAAAAAAAAAAAAAAAAAAAAAAAACAGACATAAAAGGGAGTTTTAAAAAGCTTACCTAAATTTATGAGGGTCAAAATCAAGGTGTCGACAACCACTTTCATGATACATCATTAACATTTCAGACCTGGAGATGTTTCCAGAGCACCCTCTACCCAGGAGCTGTCTGTGTACTCCTTGGTAGACAGCCAACATCAGGGTATTTATTCTTTCTGAAAGATCTCAAATATGAGGCTCAAAAAGGTCAACGCTGATTCCACCCAACCAGAAAATAGCAAAACAGAGACTTGAACTTAGGGGACTTTGGCTCCAAATGCCATTCTCCCACTATCTCCCTTGTGTGTTGACTCTCAAGAGATGCAAAGTCTAAAGAAAGCGACCGACTACAAAGAAGGCGGCGGGCAGGACATGTGACAAGTGCCACGAAGCAGACAGGGAGGACCAAGTCCAAGGGGGAGTCGGAGTGAGAACGTCACGGAGAGGCCTAATGACTGTGTGACATTTCAGCCATCAGGGACAATGCAAACCAAGGGAACAGTGTGAGCGGTGGCCCAGAATGCTCAGGAGGGAGTCGTCGGAGGCTGATCAACCAGCACCGGTGTGGCCCTTGCCGTGTGCCAGGCCTGGTCTCAGAGTCACGGTGGTTCTGCATTAGGTGTTTCAGATAGATACATCATCACCACCACTCCCTGTTACAG